CTTTTCAAGGTGGATGACGAAGACTGTAAACCCGAATCAACATTAGACTCGGCAAGGGATGCAGGTCGTTCACTGTTTATAAGCATATCCACTGTATTCGATAGGTCCCCACCTTTAGTACCATCCTTTCCAAACTCCAGACCTCTGGGAGACATATTCCCAGATGGCATTGGTGACATTCTACCATTGGCTAAAACCCATGACCGTTTTTCAATGAGGGTGGGTGAAACCACTGAAGAACGTTTGAAACTGTGACTGCCAGAAAAATCACCATACTTTGCCGGCCCATTACTCAAAACTCCAAGTAACTTATTATACTCTTGTGCAGCGAATGCACTTCTTTCTACTAACAGAGTTACAGTTCCCGCCTTGGCTGCGTTTACAAGAACACTCATTGCTTTTTCATTAGTAACCTCATGAAGGCTCTCATTGTTGACATGAATAATTTTATCTCCTTCTTTTAATACGCCAGTTTTCTCTGCAACGCTACCAGCTATAATTCGTTTCACAAATATTCCATAACTAGGTCCACCACTAGCCCTTCCACCAACAATTTTTATTCCGATTCCGCCCTGGCAATTGTTCAAAACAATGCGTTTTTCAGCGGGGCTTTTCTTCCCCGATGGGACAGTCTCAAACTTGTTTGTGTCACCCATCCGCGCGATTTTTCGACTTTTACGCGGTTTCCACCACCAAATCTCATTAAATAACCACAACAAATTTCAATACATAAACTCTAAATCATAATAAAGTTGTTTTATTACCACAAATCTGCTTTTATAACAAAAATTCATGTGTAAATAAACGTTTGCGTCAAAAAATTCCGATGCACGACTATTTTACGCGTTGTCAAGACGCCACGAAACTTTTCGACACTTTCCGGAATCTGTCCGAGCGTGCATTCCAATACAGATTACCGTCGCTTGCATCTAGGATGACACTCGCAGTAAAAACATTGTCTTTGCTCACGTGAAATGTTGAAATTTTTCCAGCGGAAATGACAAGTTTTAATATGGCCCGTTGCCACCTAATTAACTTACACATATAATTTGAGTTATTGATTACCTTTGTTCCATTCTATGCTTACATAAGTTACATCACAGTTACAGTATCATTGTACAGTGGTGGTACACACGCAAAAATCTCAAAAGTCTGCCAACAAGTTGTGTTCGCACTGCTTGTCCCAAGTTGTCAACAAGTTTGGAACAAGATGGTAACAACTTGTAACAACCTTAATTGTTGATATTATCAGACTTGTTGCAAGGTTGTTCCAACAAGTCCGATACAGTCATGATATAGCAATATCGTTACAACCTTGACAGTGTTGTGTCGTCAAACTTATAACATTCTTGTTATATCATGACTGTATCGGACTTCTTAGAACAACCTTGTAACAAGTCTAATAAAGTAATAATGCCATCAAGATTGTTACAAGTTGTTAACAGTTTGTTCCAAACTTGTTTCAACAACTGGGAGTGAAAATCTTTTGGGTTTTTTTAGAGGTCATAGCATTCCCACTGTGATATCCAAACAAAAATAAACCTGCTAGCTAGTCTCCTGTAGCGCTGCCTCTTCTGTGGCGCTGCTGTTGAAATAGTGACCACGCATATATTGGTGCGAATGTTACGCATATAAACAACGCATAATCTCTGCTACTGTCATGTAGACTTTAACGACGTTTTTCAATTTTCTCACTACAAGACAAGAGGGGCCAAGAAGCCAAAAAAAATGAATCGGGATGAAAAATGTTGTTGGAGTATTAAATACACGAGCCTTGTTCAGTGTGTTCACCGATAAAACAACACCGAAATTTCATTGAATTTTCTTTTTTTTTTTCTTTTCAATCCCGTCTCGTGTTAGGCGTGTAACAGATGATAGATTTCCAGGAATGTCGCAACGATGATATCAGAACGTCAACCGATGTATAAGTACAGGATAAGCATTTAGGGTCAAGTTATCCTGCAAAGCAGGTCAAGTTTAAACTATGATTTTAATAGTCACCTAACATCGCCCATGTATCGCACCATTATTGGAACCAGTGGACCGACATTGGACCAACAGGACCAATGGACGGTATGGACCTGGTTCGGAAGCTACCGTAATGTTCCGACCATGTCCCGAGAGCAAATTCCGGTAATTCCGGTCATATGACTGGTTACCGAGAGCTGATGTGGGAGCAAACTGCCTTCGCGTTGAATATTATATCGTTCCGAGGTTTAGAAAGGTCCAAAGTACAGTTTTTTCGTAGTAAATCTATTTCCGTTCAATACACCGCCGTATTTTAAATGCTTCTCTAATGAACGGCGAAGAAAACGAAGCAAAGTTCGACCCTCTCGAAGAAAACGTCGACATTCAGTTACAAGGTTAGTCATCGGCTTTAATTACGTAGCTTACATTTCCTGTGGATTTTCGCAACTTTATTTTCTTATTCATGTTTTCTGTGTAGTTGTGGGAACGACGAGGGATGAACAGATCACGGGAAATTGCCTGATTTGCGGAGATCGATCGACTGGGAAACATTACGGGGCCGAGTCCTGTGATGGCTGTAAGGGGTTTTTTCGGCGCAGTGTGAGAAAGAATCATCAGTATTCGTGTAGATTTCAGCGAACGTGTGAAATCGATCGAGACAAACGAAATCAATGTCGGTATTGTCGATTAAAGAAATGCTTTCGCGCTGGTATGAGAAAGGAAGGCAAGTATTTTGCATCTTCGTTGCGCGAAAGCTCGTCAGTTTGAGCTGTGAACACTTTGCTATGTCGCGCAATAATTTGTTATTGTCTGTCTGGAATTTCCCTTTTCGGTCATTCACAACAATATATCGCGTTTGATTTACACAATCCTAAAATTCCAACTATTTTATAATGCCAAACGATATATACTAGTATTTTCAAGCCATTGGTGTAAATAATATTCTTCTTAAAACAATTTCAATTATATTAAATTGCCCGTTGGAATTTTGCAAGATGGCAAATAAATTCATATGTAAAATGTTGATAAATTTTGTTTCCGCATACTTGTCACTATTAAAAGCAAAATAACTTTTGATTTAACCCAAATACAAAATTTAAAACAATAGCTATGTAGTTAACTGCCTGTTCTACGTTTTGCGACCCTTGGCAGCTAGTTCACAATTGATTTCGAAAGTTCATATCAAAATTATTGCAAAATAGCTGTTTTCAAAAATTTTCAAAACATACCCAATGGCCATACGTAGGTCTACACAAAATGAATCACATGATAGACAAGATGAAAGCATAGTCTTTGTACTTTTAGTAAAGAAATACCTACATAAAAAAGTAAAAAATTCTTAGAACAATATTATTTAATAGAAAATTTGTTTTGGTAATTTTATTCAAGGTTTTTTCCCATGATTATAGATTACATCATTGTATTTGGTCCTGCTATTCTAGGCACCCTGCTGTGACCCAAATTATATAAACATACTTTCTAGCCAAATTTATACTAATAATTTGCAGTCCAATTTATATTATTTTGTGGAGGATATCACACTGTAAATAGATTTGTTGACCTTTGGGGGAGTGGCATGGGTGTTTTTGGAGTTGTGGAATTTTTCCTGATGTAGGTCAAATAACTGATCTAAAAAAATGGATAGCTCTTTTTTACAGGGGCAGAAAATGAAAGCAATTAATTACGAAGATGTACCAAGAATGTTAACCCATTGAGTGGCAGTGCTCACTCTCCACTTGACGAGTAAAATCGCTTGACGTTAGACAGAATAAAATACTCTGGCATTAGACAGAGTAAAATACTAAAGTAGGGCACATCAGGGTGCATTGCCACTTAAAGGGTTAATTGGCTGATTCCCTGCTCCCAGTTTTTGTTCCAGATTAGTAAGTCAAAATTCCATGTACAGTCTATACAAATCACTACATAAAAATGATATCCTAAAAAGACTCCATGATTGTTTCTTTGTATAGCTGTTCAAAATGAAAGAGACAGAATAATCAGACGACCTTCGGAAGATACAACTGGCAATGGAATTACAGCAAATATGCTTCTTCAAGCAGAGCTACTCTCTCGTCCACCCCCATCCAATGCAGGTAGTGTACCCAAATATTCAAATAAACTAAGTAAATTCATCCTTTAAAACTTAAAAGCAAGAAATGTTTAAGGACTGAAATTTGCACCAAACCACAAATGAGTGGTATTGTCCACCAAATGCTATAAGTCTATACACAAACAAAAAAGCTTTGATGGTAGAGCAATTATTTCAGTCAATTATTTCAGTTGAGGGTCATTGCTGTCATTAAAACTTGGTCTTTCAATATGTCCGATGATGATTCAATGTTGAATTAACGTCATTTTTCCCGCTGGGAATTATTATAATAATTTAAACAATATTTGACTTTCAATTCTAGATGAAGCTACTTTTATTAATCCAAGCAAAGAAGCCAATCACAGTGAAATCTGTGAATCAATGAGACAGCAACTCCTTGTCCTTGTAGAATGGGCAAAATATATTCCAAATTTCTGTCAGCTAAGTCTTGATGATCAAGTAGCACTTCTTCGAGCCCATGCAAGTGAACATCTCTTGTTGGGTTGTGCGAGGCGCTCTCTATCGCTCAAAGATGTCTTGTTGTTGGGTACAAATTGGGTGATATATCGTACAACGGGAGAACCAGAGATCCAGAGAATCGTCAGCAGAATTTTAGATGAAATTATTGATCAAATGAATCATATTAATATGGATGATACAGAATATGCCTGTCTAAAAGCAATCATATTTTTTAACCCAGGTATATCAACTAGTGGTATGTTAAATGATCAATTGATCACATTTTAGTTACATATTAGTTACATTTAGTTACATTTTAGTTACATTAGAGACATAATATGTCTCATCTATTCTATGGATTTTGCTTATGTTTTTCTAGATGCACGAGGTTTAAGCGACACAAGGACGATAAAGAAAATTCGTTTTGATATCCAGACAACATTGGAAGACTACATAAATGACAGACAGTACGAGAAAAGAGGTCGCTTTGGGGAAATGTTGCTACTACTGCCATCACTCCAGGCAATTGCAGCTCAGATGGTAGAACAGTTACAGTTTGTGAGATTGTTTGGAACAACAAGAATTGATAACTTGTTACAAGAGATGTTATTGGGAGGTAGGTTGATGTCTTAAAATATGTATCAATTACTCCCACCACTGAAAAACAAAGTACTGTGTTGGTCACTTCAATGGTTAGGTTTGCTTGAGGTGCACATTGAATCAGTCTTTATACCTTACTTAATTGATAGGAAAAACATGTAAACAAAATCAGTGCTGTAGTGTTGTTTTGATATCACAGTAATGATCACCCAAAAATTCGATCACCCAAAGCCTTCAGGCTTCACCATGAATTTCTCTTTAAACATATTTGTTCATTTGACATTTGACAAGTTTCATATACCCAAAATCATTTATCAGACTTATTTGAAATATCTTGTATTATGTGATAAAGACAACGATATGGTTTCCTTGGTGAATCATGTTGAACTTCTACATATTTGGTATACTGTAACTTAATTTCTTTTTTATTCTCATTTTCTAGGCTCAACCCTTCCAGACCAACTAGCCTCACTACACGGCATGAGTCCTGGGGCAACCTCACCGACACTTGGCACAACCCCACCTACGCTTGGCACAACCCCAACTACACTCGGGGCAACCTCAGCTACACTTGGGACAACCTCATCTACACTGGGTGCAGCACCACCACCACTGGGCACAACCCACACCATTAATGGTCTAGCCCAGTCCACTCACGGGATGGAACAGCTCGCTCAAGCAAGCTTGCAGTCAGCAAGACTCGCGACTCAAAATCCCTTGTACAATACAATTAACTTTGACACAAATAATATCAACTGTTTGCCAGGGTACACTCCAGTTGATATGAACAGTGCAGAGGCTACAAACCCTGAGGTTATTCACGCCATACGTAATCAAGGCATCTCACTTGTCAAACAAGAAAAGGGCAGTAGTCAAGCGAGTTATCCAATAAATCCTACCATATCTCAAAATGATACGACCAACACACCTCGTGGAATGATGCATTAATTTCAACTTGTCGGTGATGGTATTTCAGGCGTCCTGATATTTCAGAGGTCCTTTCGTGCACCGCGCCAAAGTGACATCATCTTAGATATTCAATATATATTTTTGATAACATTTTCTGTAAAAATACAGGCACACCTTGATAAGTTATTGCTACAGTCGAACTTCTGAGTAACTGGTACCAACGGTGAAATTTCACACCATTTTTTTATGACTGCAAAGAAAATTCGAAATGTCCAAGCGAATACACATGTACAACAATGGCCTAATCACCTAAAAACGCTACGAAAACGGATTAATGTGGGCGTAGCCTATGTTTCTGAGTGGGTAGACCACGGTTGTTGTGTTACAATTTCATAGAAGCACCGTGCACTTTTACAAGATGCTAGTATAGTGGTGAAAATCTTCAAGCATTCAATACGGAGTAAGTATTGAACTTAGGTGAGCAGTATTTGTAAACCAATCGAACAGGATTTTCCTCGGTATACTAACAGTTTTTAATTTAACAAACCATATTTTATAATATTCATAATGTATATATAAAAATAATGATCGAATGATTGCGGGAGCACATTATAATTAATTTCACAGAAATGAACGATTCATATTACGATAAATGCAAGTATAGACATTTCACTGTAAAACGAACATGTATTCTGACTATGCTATGGTAATTCTCTGCTGCATGCCGAATGGCGAAGCAAATAAAGTCAACATAAAAATTCAAGAAAATGTTGTTGGTTTCCACAGGAGCCCTGGGGCCGGTTGTTCAAAGGTGGGTTAGCAACTTAGCACTAACCCTCGCCCTCGGTTAAAATTTAACCCGCTGTTTTAGTTTGTGCATTTCTGCACGTCTGTTTATTTCAAAACTTCAGAGAAGTAAATTCCTATCGATCCGGACAAGACCTATTCTGAATTCATAGGCAAGCTGCCAGGAAGTTCGGAGTTGCTCTGAATTTTAACTTAACCTGGATTTAAGCTAAACCAGCTTTGAACAACCGGCCCCTGGGTTCCACGATGCAACGCAGGCAGAAGATCAGGTAAAAGGGGATTACAGAAACGAAATGCAATGAAGTACATGACGTAAGCAATGACAGCACAAGCGTGAAAGTAAAAATACAACTGATAAGCTGGGAGCAAAAGCAAATTCGAAAGAAAGATTTCCCTGCTTTCGTTTTGTAAGTATACCTCAGGGGAAAAGCCAGAGACCTGTGAGATTTGCTACAGTCAAACTGCAACCATTCGACTCACTGAGGCATATAATAACCTCGATCGGTCACTGACATGCCACCAGAAAGTACCTGCTTATGAACACGTTTTGTGGTTCGATTTCTGAAACAAAAATTATGAATGTTTATGATTCGTTCTTTAGAAATATTTCTATAGTTTGTCTTTTACTGTCATAATCAACCAATCTCAAAGGCTTTTCATATGGGTAGGAACCGAGTCCACCAACCACAGATATGCCCTAGCCTTAGCAAACGGGTCATTAACCATGGAACGCATTCACGTGACATTAATTAACAGGTCTTTAATTTTAATTATTCATGACCACAGTATTGATCCTCAGACCCTACCTGTAGTCAGACATTCGTCTCACTTTGTCGACGATTAAAGCACACAGTAAATAGGCCAAGACTTGAAAGGTTTGTATTATACAGTAAGTGTTAGATTTCAACAGTCTACCATCATCTGGTCTTAGGTAGTCATTCTATTTCGATGGTTATACAGTATAGGTAGTAATCAACCATTTGAATTGGTTGTTAAAATAATAATTGATACAGTTGTCGCTCTAGCCAGCTAGACTATTTAATCGATTTTCTATACAGTTGTAACTTAATTTATAACGTACGATTAGTGTTTATATAGTGGTGTATTCCATATTTTTGCTATACTCGTATTTGTGTTAACTGCACATATGATGAGACTAGAGAAATATGTAGGAAACGAATGTTCTAGCCACTTGCATATTTAATTAAACTATTCTGAATATCTTTACTATGCTACACTATGTACTGCAGTATAGAATCTAATTTGTTCAAGCTATTTTGCAAATTCGTTTAACCAAAAGAAAACTCTTTCGTCAAAGTATAAACACAATGTTATTGCACGTACAAAACCATTAGATTCCAACCGCGATAATATATGCAACGACTGTATAATTTGCGAATCAATGTAAACACTGCTAAGCTAATAAATATATTACGTTTGGGTCAAATTCTCCGGGAAACCGAAACATTTGATCTCAAAACAATACACTTCTGCATGGCAGCCGTGATCGACAAAATATTTAAGAAGAAAAGGAAACAGCTTATAGCGAACGACGAAATAAACGAACAGCTAGTACGAGAGCATTACGCGAGACAAGAGAAAGATGTAAGCGGTTTTTAAATTGATGTTGTGTTGACATGTATAAATTTTGCAATGTTTCGTGGGAATGTATATTAGCCTTTTACTCGTCAAGTCCCCTTGCGATTTGTAAATTCAACCACAGACACAGTAATTTAATAGATTTTTACCCGACATTTGGGGGAGTTCCCAAAAGGCCAAGATAGAGTAGTTTTAATCGGTGACTTTTTTACGGTAATCGATTGATCTATGCCCTTGTTTTATAAATTGAAGCTCTAGTGAATTCTCCAGATTTTTACTCTTCAATCTGTAATAGGAATGCTAACAAAAATCATATATGTAGAGAGGATAAACAAGCCTAAATTGCTTTATTTATTCTGCCAGTAGTCTCGTTCTGGTTTCCAAACACTGGTTAAATATTAAACAACGCTACATGACTTGCGGGAGTTTCATCCACATGTCCACTAATTATTACACATCACTCATCAGTTATTCGTATTGATTATTGTTTGCCATTTATATTTCTTTCTAAGTAATAATTTAAGGGTATGCATGGAAGATTGGTTATAAAACCTATCACCCGCGCATTGCGGTGATGATATAGGCAGCAAACATTTTATAGTTCAAGTTATTATAAGTAGTAGCCGGAAATTATATTAGACTCTAAAGACTGATCATCCACACTAACTATAAAGACGAATCAGCAAGAATAACGCGATCTATACTGCCAGGAGTTTCCAACAAAATCCCTGTGCCTGTATAGATTCATTTATCCTAGAGCCCGGAATAAAAACGAGGATGAGAGTCACGCGACCTATAGTTATTCTCAACACTATCATGTATTCTATTTAAGTTAAAACATAGTTGGAACACTCCTCAAACCTTTAACCTTTTGTTAATATAGAGCTTGAAATGTCCCCTGTAACAATTCCGGCATGACTGCCAACTCTAATCAACTCTCATTTTCGTTTGACCACGGCTTAGCCTTAGCTGTATCGTGGATCTTGGTATAAAACGGATCTGTGACTGTGTATATAAAAGGACGAACCTCTCAGGAAGCTATCAGGCATGATTAGTGTTCCCAGAACCATTGCCAATATAGATCAAGCTATTCTGAATAGTTCGCCTAGAAAGTTTGTTTTAAGTTTACATTTTAAGTTTTAAGTTAAGACGATCCGCCAGCCGGAAGATGCGTTCTGACGCGCGCGAGTTCTTCTCAAGTACATATCTGTGAACGCATGTTTGCAAACTATTACTGAACTCTTCAGTTGTCTATATTGATAGCTCTCCTATCTCCTCATGGAAGTCAAACATCGAGCAGCACCTAGCATGCCAGACTCAACTGCTGGTAGTGTTGAGAACGTTGATCCAATTGAACTAGTTAATGCCAACACTTTAGTGGTCGTTGCATTTTCTGACGATTGCTCGGAAGAAACAAAAGAATGGTTAAAAGGAATGTTTAGCGCACCAGGTAAAACTTTGGTCTGCATATTTTTTGCACTCAGGTGAAGATATATATTTGAGATGTTGTCTCTGAGTGTGTCCGCACCGTGGAAGCTGAAAAGTTTGCATGACCACGGTGGGAATCGAACCCGCGACTTTCGGTATGCTAGTCCAATGCTCTACCAACTGAGCAACGAGGTCAAGTCGGTTCGAGTGTGTGATATTTCTAGCTCCTTCGATATCAGTGTTTTTACGATCTTGTTTCGATTTTGTTTATGGTGTTATGCACAATTATATTGAGGGAACTGGACTGATTTGCGAAATATCACACACTTGAACCGACTTGACCTCGTAGCTCAGTCGGTAGAGCATTGGACTGGCAAACCAAAGGTCGCGGGTTCGATTCCCACCGCGGTCAAGTAAACTTTCCAGCTTGCCTGGTGTGAACACACACTCAGAGACAACATCACAAACATATGGTTTAACTCTGTTACTGTTTTGTAGAGCTTCGTTTGACCAGGACATGAGAGTTGAGAAAATTGTCGTGCGAGCTCTCGGCCTCGGGTAACTGGGGGCGGGGACCGGTTGTTCAAAGCTGGATTAGCGCTAACCCTGGGTTCTGTTTAGTTCAAAACTTTGGAAACTAAAACTTCCGTTGACCCAGACAAGATGTCTAGAACAATATCTCCATGATTACAAACAAGCTGTTGGGAGATTGCTTTGAATAATTTGCTAACCTAGGATTAAGCTAAAAGCTAACCGACTTCTGGCATGAACAACCGGCTCTGGGGCATTATTTCCAATACACTATAGGTAAATGTATTTACAATGCGTTTAGTACCACAAGGTGCTGGACTTCAGGTGAAACCAGTGTTAGACCAAGACTCAAAGAAAACATTTCACCTCTCCGCAACGGATAAGCGACTCATTCGTGGAGCCGAAGACCTCAAAATGAAGAAACGGGACAAAAATAATGAACTGCAGGAAATCACGCAGGAAAATTGGCAAGACTTGCAGGAGGCCTGTGAAAACAGCAATATGCGACTTCTGAACACCGCAGACAAACAGATGATTATTTTTGATGCTTTGAATGATTTGAGAGCCCCGGAGGATATGGCAGTGCCAGGGTGTCCAGATAAACAAATGCACACTGGTCAGGCAATAAGTAAGTTATAGAGATGTAACAAATTATATTGTGTTTGTTGGTGTTTGTACTCAGGTGAATATGATGTTTGTGACGTTACTCTGTGTGTGCATCCACACTGGGCAAGCTGAAAAGTTTGTGCCTGATCCATTGATATCTTATATACACTAGATAGCGCATCTCTTTTAGTAAAACTGAAGCCAAGAATATTCCAGCGGTTACCCCCATTTGAATAGATGGCGGCCATGTTGGTCGTTCCCACTCGCTAATAAACACTTGAAAACATCAATAACTTTCATCATTTGAATACTTTAAAAATGTATTTGGAATAGGGTTAACTTGATATTTAAGTTCCCTGTTTAAGAAATAGGAAATATACGACTCTTCTCTCATTTCATGGGAACGACCTGAGACTGCAATTTTTGAATTGCAGAATAATTAGATGCACTATCTAGTGTATACAAGATAACTATGGCCTGATCACGGTGGGAATCGAACCCGCGAACATCGGGATACCATTCCAATGCTCTGCCACTTGAGTTACGAGGTCAGTTCGAGATGGTGATATTTCGGAACTGAGTCCAGTTCCTTCGATTTCAATGTATTCTAAGATATGATACTTTTTGTATTTGTTGATCCCAAAGGTCACGGGTTCGATTCCCACCGTGGTCAGGAAAACTTTTCAGCTTGCCTGGTGTGGATGGATACTCAGAGTAACATCACAAACATCGTAACAAATTATATTAAGAACTTTGAGAGAGAATAGAGAAACGAAGTACTTTGCAGGTTCAGCGAATAAATATGATCATAACATTTCCCGCAAAATTTTGTTCACAATTTTATTTTTGCTCAACACTAGTTCCGTTGGTGCAAGCATTTGGCCATGTCACTCAGATCGTTCCACTACACAACAAAGATGAGTTAAATCCACTCAAGAAGAAATGGTATACATCTTTTGAATGGAAACAACCTCTAGGTAAGCTAGTTAAGAAACACAGGAAAAGGAACGGATGCAGCTTTGAATTACGTTTTTAAAGATAAGAGCTGAGTTGTGAAGGACGCAACTCAAATGTGACCGAGTCTTATTAGAGTGTCTCTGGCTGCCACCGTAGAACTGGTGACGGAACACCGCTATTCTAGAGAGAGAAACCCTTGGAGCACAGGAGAACACCAACCACAAATCTACTTACGCAAGTTTTCAAACACATCACGTCAGTGCATAACGTTTTACAGTACGTAGGGGGCCAAAACCAAGATTGGGACCCAGTGTGTGCTCTCCAGAGTGAGAATTAGGTCACTCATGTTAAGGTTAGGGCCCAGTCTGAGCCAATAACTAGTGGGGCCA